TCGTGAGATGGAGTGTGTTTCTGCACAATCCTTCCGCGCGCTAGTCTAGCCGAGTCCTGGTCTTAGACGTTACCAACTGGTTTGCTGGGTTGATAGGCGCGGCCGAGAGCCAGATCCTAATGGCGATGGAAATTCCAACTTGATCACAGTCCTGGTTTCATGCCCAGTGGGGTTAAACCAGTCCTGTTACTAGAATAAGAAGATAATGTTAGTTTGATGCTGCCTAGAGCATGTCATTCCTCTCAATCACGATGGCCGACGCATCCTCTACGGTGTCCGATTTTATAGACGCTAATTTCTCTACTAACTTTAGTTGAGTAGCATGGTTTTTTTGATGAACGTTTCCGGTAGTAAATAGCCGTTATGTCCTTACTGCTCCCTACGGATGCCAGTACTGGTCTAATTTATTACATTTATGTGTATGAACGCCAAAATGGCGAAGCTTTTCCAAAACAAAAAAAGACAATTTAAGCTTGGTGGTCGTGGAAGTAACTGCGTGCTGTGATGAGGACAACTTTTGCCCAGAATCTCGAATTTCCATCATTCACTAAGCAATTGGCATTCCCCCCTCGCCGTCGTCCGGCGCCTATTTTAGGACAGAACAAAACGTCCGACACTTCACGCACTGACTCTTTGTTAACAGAAGCGAACGTGGATGGAACCAAGGTAGTTGATCTTTTGGAATGTTTTGTAGCTGACTGCGAAAAGCCAAAATATTTTGGGCTTTGTTCTCTCTTCCAGTTGTCGTTAAATTGACAGGTGACAGCAAGTTTTGATAAGAGTGGCCAAGGATTACGGTCGACTCGTTTGCGTGATTGTGTATTATATCAGTTTTCGCTTGCAGTTCTTAATGGGCAAAGAGGCAAACACGGTAGACATCAACCTCCCAAAACTGTGAAATTAGATACATGTGGGCTGAGGTCTAAAGCAGTAAGGCCGTTTTTCTTCATTATAGTTTATAACGAAAAATTTGCTGTGCTGAAGCCTCGCCTACATATTCCAGTCTGCTTGACTTTCAATTGATCAAAATCGTTGAATTTGAAGATTGCATAAACAAAATAATTTAAAGGATCCAACTGTTTACTAAGGTCGGATTTTGGCCGTCGTATATAGGCTGCCTCCATGTAGCGCAAGGTACGAGTTGTTCGTGCCCGAACAAGTACTCGGAAAGAAGTTTCGGTGTCCAGGAATGACCCATATCAAGCGAGTGTTCAGAAGTGGAGCATGTTGTTAACTTAACGTTGCACTGGTAACATCCGGCTCTGTGATTTACAAATTTCCCTGCCCACCTTTTCGTTTTTCCTCACTTTTATTTCCCACAGTGTTTTAGCACGATTTCGTTACTGATTAGGCTTCGTGACCAGGTTCTATGAACTTAATGACCTTTAATGTATCAAACCAATTTTGTATTTTCTCATAAGTTACTCAAGTTTTGCAGCGAGAAGGAGCAGTTGGTGGGTGCTCTCGAAATTTATGGATCTGCAGTGACTAGCTCCACACGAAGTGCACTTGTGAACGCCTGTCGTGATTAGCTCAAGTCGAAGTGGACTTTGAGAACGCTTGCGGCTTCCAGCCTGTTACAGCCAATCACAGGCCGACTCACACAAGTTCTCAGGGGACGACTGCGGAGCAGACTTTACTTCAGACGCCGTCCGTTGGCTTGCGGTTGTGCAATCGTTTGCTATTCAATTTCCTACTGCCTATTCTCCCATTTATTCTGTATCAAATATACTTTTCCTACTTTTTGTATAAACTGAAAGGCAGGCATCCCAAGAAATTTGCAAATTTTTCTCAAGTCTGACGACGACCTGGGGATCCAGTGTCGAAAATTTACTGAATAAAATTACTCATTTTCCCAAAGGACGCCTTTCCTTGAACCTTTTCCTACTGTTCTGACTTTCCCAAGACTTCGCTCATTTCCTAAGGAACCGGGCTTGGAAGATCGCTGTTGCCAGGGTTAACCTTTAAAAACCTTAACCCGCCACTCGATAGATCCATTAACTTCTGCTGTTTATCCAATCTTCAAATTTGCACCAGGGAAAACATGCTTTAAAAATCACGGAAATATACTGTAGATGCAGTAAATAATCTAGTTTTTTGGTTCCACCTAACATGACTATCATTTCACCAGTATCGAGTAAAGTTGGAACTATCGCTTCGTGTTAACGCACTTGCGGGGCTCCAATCGCGAAAAGTTAAATATGCAGATGTCAGCATTCTTCTGCTCAACAATTTCGGGTGTAGTCCAGGGCACCCAGTTGGAGTCTTCCAAACCAGCAGTCACTAAGGTGACTTCGGCGTGACTGGAACTGGCACCTGCAAGCAACTTCGGGAGCAGTAACGATCTTTGAAATGGATCCAGCACTATAGGCTCATTCTTCCTCGTTTTGCCTTCATCGTCTGCAAAATGCAAAAAGTCGAAAGTATGCTGAAAAAGAAACGCGGAAGACAATCATTGGACGCGATACGGCTTGCTGTACATTGTTCACATTTGAGGAAGACCAACCTGACATTATGCTCGCCTCAGTTATGCTGAAGAATTACTAGAGCCCATTTCTCATACTATTTTCGACAAGAACAGCGGCCTAGACCCTTTTCCATGTATCACACCAAAGATAGCAGATGGAGACTAAAGCTGTTGTACAGTCATAACTTGACTATCTGCAAGATACGCACCCATTCATTCGAACCACTGGGTTCGGGAAAACAGAAAATTCCCACGGGATAACATGTGCGATAGGGATGCTTGAATTTTTTGGTTTTATTCACCGTTATCCCGAAAAAATATCTTTCGTGGGCTGACTTCAAATTATTACTGCATACTGAACGTAAGAACTGTGAAGCAATGGACGCAATTCCTTATTTCTTTTCAAATTCCTATAACACGTGAGTGGTATTTCGGGTATACTAAACTCAGAAATAAGAACAAGAAGCATTTACATTCCACTTGAGTACGCATGTACAAATAAGCAATTTTGCGTAATTTTGGCTGAAGATAATTAGATCCCAATAGGAAGAAAACGGCATTTAAACTGAAGAGACACAAACCTGCGAGCATATCTTGCGTCATGAGTAGGGCCAGTAATCTATAGAATCTGCTTACTTTACCGCTTTTATCAGTTTAAGTCAATAGACTATCACTTCTAACGTAGCGGCTATTCAGCAGTGAAGTTCCCCGAGCCCTTTGTGAAACTTGATGTTAATGCATCAAATAGGTTATTTTATGGTGACCAAGATGGTAGACTTCAGCGTGCGAAATTGTACGGTATCCCAAATGTTTGCCTGATATGACCTTTCTCAATTTTCTAAGTTCTCTTTAGTTCATGGAACTTGTGACAAGCGGAGTACGAGACGTTGAACGAGACGTCCGAAAACTCCAATCCCTTTTAATATCAAGAAAGATGACTCATTAAAAAGTGTTCAACAGGTGCCCCCACCCATTGTTTGCAATTATCAAAAGAAATTGGCACAATTCCATGCAAAAAAACTTGACTTTGCGCTAAATAATCACATTAAACAAACCACTATAGACAAATAGGCTAACTATATGTCTGACAGACTTAATGCTGTTTTAAATGTATAGGGACAATCGATAAAGTAGTAACACTGTATTTGTACTCATTCTGTATTAATTTGCCGTTTTTGTGCTCCCCTGTCTTAAACGCATTTATATTTAACATTAGATCAGTGACTTGTTATAAAGCTATTATGTGAATTTTGAGTATTTATTGAAAAATAACTATTTTAATGCTAGTAAATAGTAACTTATCGACCAACCTATGTCTTTTTGTTTACTTATGGTACTCAATTTACTGCTGGAAAACTTGGCGGGAAATCGCATGCGCTGATTGTGCGCCACATGAGTTTTCTTGTCTAAACCACGACATGTCATCAGATCGACAAGCTGCTGGAGGGATGTGCTTACCAGAACCGGAGCCCGTGTTGTCCTCGGTTTCAACTACGGTCGTTTTTGTGGACTTAAATGCATCAGGCATGGTAGCGCTAGACATAATCACAGTCTGCGTTGTTGGATTGGCGTCTGTGAGGGGGAGTACGAATGTCGCCGGCTTGAACAGAATCTTCTTTGGGC